GTTTATACTCAACGTGTCAAACGTGAAATTGTTAGAAAACGTATTCTCTTATTCCATTTAGAGCTCAAATCATAAACGATCGAATCACAGTGAGCCAAAAGTGATATGTAGTCTATAAGAGCATAGAGATGATATTGTGCTTTCAGAGGAAGTTCAAGAAAACTTCGATGCATCTGGCATTCGTTTCGATAATTCTCGAATTCATACACGGGATCATCGTACATATATACGCTACACATATTTGCGATGGCGTTCGATCGAGGCGAGAGAAACGCGCGAGAACATCGAGCTGGCCGGAGCAGATAACGAAACGTGCGGCGAGGAACGAGGCAGCGGGTGCTGCTTTCGCTGGTCGAGAAGCAACAAAACCGCAGCTCGGATATAGAGGACACATTGTGCGCGCGCGGACAGAGAGCGGAGGAACGCGTCGCAGCGAATCGACTGCTCGCCTCGCACCATCTCGTCAACTCGAGCACTCGCAGCCCCTGCGAGTGTTGCGCGTCCGTTCGTTACCACCGCGATACCATCTTCTCTTTTTCTCTTGAAGCGCATTCTGCTTGCTGCGGCGTGCCTGCGCGTCTTTTTTCACCTCGCCTTCTTCGACGCCCTTCGCTTGTTCCTCGTCGACGAACGTCCAGTCGTTGCAAACCGTTTGAGATTCGATTCTCGATCACAGATTTTCCTTCCTCTCGCGATTTTCTTCTTCATTCAACTAGTGGTGGGAAATTAAGGAATTACGTTGATTTAAAAATTCTGTTGCGTGTCGGTAATAATACGAGGTTGATAGAAGGGATGAGATATGCGATGTGAGTTTACTGGGCAGAATATGAAGTGCGCTAGTTTAGTAGAGAAAGTAGAGATATATGGAGCTGAAATATTGCGACTTTCTTGATTGTATTAATCAGATATGTGGATAGAAATTATCGTGTTTATTGAAATCCATAATGTTTGTTGCATAGTAGGACGAAATTTGTACCTACGAAATAATTATTCTTTCTGTTTGTCTCCTGTTTAAGCTGCTTAGAAGCGATAACCTGCAATTAATTGCATAAGTTAAAAAGTGGAGGAATGATGGTTTTTAATCATTTTCTCCAATTCAATTTTTAATCATTATTTCATCAAAAAAGTAATAACTCATACGCTTGTAAAAAAGAGACAGCGTGACGTGAATTTTACCTCATACCTATGAATACACGATAGATTTTAGCGCATGCTAAACATTTGACAGATGCTACGAAAATTATTAAACCTTCATAGATAAAATACATCAAAAAAGATTTTAAACGATAAAAAAACTCCTCATCGTTTATTATCATGTACAATCTGCTTGTATCTTGATAAGCAAAAGCTTAGGGCGCGACAAAATCCAGTCGCGACGATATTCTAATAACGGTTTACTACGTTCGAACATGCATCAATTAACCCTTCATTTCCAATTACGTGGCTCGGTAATTGCGAATAACGAGCGCCTCGATGATCATCGGTTTTCCCTCGCTTGGTTTACTCTCCTTCGACGGGGAAGAAAACAAGAGATAGTAAACGCGAACAAGACACTAAGATCATGCATTTAATTATGTCGATCCGATCTGCTGTGATTCTCGCTTTAACGCGCCGTTTTAGCGAACTGGACCTCGATTTTATAACCCAATGCGCTGGTTCGGTGTGATATTTACGGGACTCGTAACCGTGGCCACTTTTCACTTCGTTATCCGACTGTCGGCATCCAATCGGAGGTTCTTTATTATTCGACGAATCGGTGTTATCGCATCGAGAGACGCGTTGACGACGTCCTTTCATTGTGGCCTCTTCTTCTTTATTACCTCGCAGAAAGCTCCGATACGAGGCTCTCGTCACGGAAGTTAGTAAAGTGTGCTACCTCCATTATAAAAATTCCTTCGTGTACCGCGCCAAATTTTTGTCTTACTTTCGCTCGGGAATCTCGTGGGGAAAGCTTTCATTTCTAAAACGCTTAAACAAATTTCCATTAGCATTTATTCTCGTTATATAAAGATAGAACTTGTATTAGGGTGGTTATCTGCCTTCAAGCTCCTCGAGGATATCCACAAATAAATTAGATAACCAGATTAGTAAGAAATAGTAGATTATATAAATAAATGTAAGGTATTATTTTATATCGTATCTACACTTTTCTGTGAAATTTCGAAAAAAATTAATTATTTCATTATATGAGTCAATATTACTAACCGGCTAGAATTCTTTCTATTATATTGAATGAGGCCAACTTCTGCATAAAAGTACGTGTATATATTGCTCAAAATAATTAACGGATTATTTAGGCATTCGTTACATCCGAACATTTTTTTTCTCTTTTACAACTGTTTTAAATACCGTCTTTAACGCAATGTCATACGAATAGCGTATTACTCAAGTCTATAGAGTTTCTTCTTTCTCTCTGTTCATTTAGTTGATACGATAAAATCATCCATGCTAACAATTCTCTAATTATATTGACTAGTATATAATTTCTCCATACTAATTTCTTTTTCTAAACTCTATATCGTTCCCACAAAACAACATCTATTACCAATCTTCTGCTGTAAAATCCGTACTTTCATCGGAAGATTCGTATCAAAACGAGCTCTCTCTGATACAATAATTTCTCCAAACCGCCTTCCTTACGGCACCTCTTTCAAAAACCTTCACCTACGATTGCAAAGACTCTCCTCGAGGTTGACCACCTCCACTCCATTAAAAGCTAATTGCGGATTGTCGGTATCGCGAGGACTCGCATCGGGAGGCACACGTGCGTCCTGTGGATCTCGTTGATCGGTGGCGGTACCGAAAGGGTCGGTAGGAAGAAGGTGGAGACGACGAAGGTGCGTCGAGAAGGATGGCGAAGAAGAAAGAGGTAAGGTAGCTCTCGAAGCAGTCACTATCTGAGGGAGCACTCATCGCGGCCGCTTC